GGCATCTCTCGAAGTATTTCTCGAAGTCTGGCTTACTAAATGTTTCAGTGGTTTTGGCTGAACAAGAAAAGCATCATGATGCTGTAAGGGGTATTGGGTCTAATTTGGGCATTAGTAAATCAACGGTTCAAACATTTTAAAACCCGCAAAATATCATTCCTATAAAGTAAACCTCATTCACGAGTAATGAATTGAAGTTTTTGACAATGATGACGAAGATTTTGTCAAAAACATATTTTTTTTCGACGAGGAAACATTTACATTGAATGGACAAGTAAATAGACAAAGTTGTCGGTATTGGGCTACCCAAAATTCACATTGGGCACGAAAGTCGCACACTCAATATCCGCAAAAGATCAATGTGTGGTCGAAATACCACGGTATAGTGTCCTGGGTTTTTACTTTTTTGAATAAACCTGAACTGGAAAGAGATGTTTAGAGTTTTTCAAAACGATATCATAATGTTGACCCAACTCAATTCCACTAAATCACTTTTTGACATAAGTACGGAGGCTTTCACGACTGGTATTAATTGAACTAAAATTAGAACTAAAACTAGAACTAACACTAGACACTTTCGGGTTTTGCCGTGCGTTTTTTCACTTATATTATTAATATTTACGGGGAGGATATCAACAAACAAATCAACGATTTGGATAACTCACGAATTAGACAACGCAAGCTGTTGAACAGTTTGGCCTTTCTACGAAGATGCAGAGAGAAGAAAGTAACGCCAACCTTCATGAAAGTGAAGCCACACATCGACAGAACAAGCACTACTACGAGAAAGAATCCACAAGACCTTCAATGATGTACAGAAAATAAGTGAGAGGTTACCAGGACTTCACCTCTTACTTTCCAATTGTATGCCGGGAGAAGACTGGGATAAAGTGGACAGGCTAACAATGGAGAAGGCTGATCGTGAATTCCAGAAGACCCGTGACACACACATCAAGAAGTTTGAATCCCTGGAACGCCGGATACAAAAGAAGAAAAGTAATAGTTTACCAGTAGAAACAATCGTAATCAACAGATCGAGTGTCCCACTAACGAAAGACGAAACTACTGTGCTCGCCAAAGGATTAAACTACGCAATCGCCCCGAAGAAGGTTCCAAAAGAGGAAATCATCCGCGAAGTGGAAACGGCTGTTGGATGCCCGCACTAAAAGCCTGAAAGAGCACTGAAGTCAGCAAAACCACCAAAATCCAACTTGACGGTTGGCGAAAAGAAGGCACTCCGATCTATTATATATTAGCAGTGGAATTGCCAAACAGAAGCGTTGTAATAATGGCGATTTATCATCCACCTAACAGTATTACAGAGCTAACACATTTTTGAATCTCCAACGAGAGAGACAATCATATCAAGTAAATATCTTTGTCGCAGGGAAATGATAAAAACAGGGATTTAATCAAAATCCTAAGAGATTTGATCAATTCACTGCAGATGTTAAAATGATAGTCAGTTATTATCATTTCACTAAGAAAATCAAGGGATTTGATCAAATGCCTAACGTGATTTGGTGAAATGACAAAAACTTAATTTTTAAGTTAAGTATATTAAAACATTTATCATGATAATAATTAAAATATTAATTTATTTTGTATTGACACATGTTGTGGATTTGTGACATCTCGAGTTACAAAGCATATTATTTTTTTTGCACATACATCTATTCGTTTTACATTGTACTTTTGATTTTTCACAAAAACTTTTCTTAAATCCTTGACCTCCGAATAAGGACAATTTTCTAGCGATTTCACGCAAACTCAACGTAATCGGTGGGACGGAATCATTATATGTAGTAGTAGCTATTTGAAGAGCGTTTCTAGGAAGCCAATCTTTTATTATTCCTACCGAAGTACCAATTTGAAATAAATTGTTTTTCGTATTTAATACGATACCCATAATGTTGTTCGCATCCAATGGACCTCTCTGTCAACCTTCGGAACATCAATCAAAACGGCGGAACCCACTAACAAATCTTTAAATTTCTTCGAAGAAGTACATTTCATTTTTTCAGCCGATCTTTTTAGGTTTTGGGCAGCATGTTCCCTTTGTTCTTTTATATTTTCTTGATTTTGGCATAAATAGCATAAAACTGTTGACTCGTCTCCTCCTTCTACCGTATTTTCGCAAACAATACAAAGCGTTTTTTCTTCTCCGTCTAGTGCTGCACCTTCTGATGCACCTAACAATACAGGTGTTGTATCAGCCGATATGGGAGCTGAAGTAGGGTCAAGAACAGGATCGAGTTCTTGAATCGAAAAAGTTGGTTCCGCTGTTAATAAATTCTCTGTTGAAACTTGCGTTGAAAAATCATTATTTTCAGTAGCTGGAACATCTTCAGAATTGTCAGTTTCGTCAGTTTGTTGCTGTTTAAGAAATTGGTCTAGGTCTTCTTCAGTAACAAGCTTTTCAAGTAATTCTGCTGGAATATGAGTAGAGTGTAGGCCTATTTTTGGCTCTGTTCCAAATAACGCTTTGTACGGTGATCGTTTAATAGTACGGTGAAAAGAGGAGTTCTTCTGAAATTGTACAAAATAACAACCAATACCCCAGTTTTTTGTACCATTGTCTATTAGCCAAGCTCGTAACATAGCTTCTACATCTTGATTCGACCGTTCAACCGATCCTTGACTTGCTGGATGTCTAGGCCTACCATTAACAATTTTGCATGTTGGCCACATAGCGGTTAGTTCTTGTATAACAGCAGCCGTAAACTCACGGCCGTTATCACTTTGTAATATTTTAGGACAACCAACTTCCAGAAAGATTTTTAATAGCTCTATTGCTACTTCTGCAGCTCTTTTCGAAGTTAAAGGACGTAGAAAGCTGAATTTTGTCCCGTGGTCCTGATAATGTAATAAACATTTATAATTTCTATCAGGGGTCGATTGTAAGTCAATTAAATCGACCTGACCACGATGGTTGAAGTCGCTAGATGGAATTGGACAGACAACGATTCCCTTTCTTGGAAATTTCTTTTTGGATTAACATACCGTGCACAGTTTCAAAAATTCTACCAAATCAAAACATTCGTATGACACTAAACATTCGTATGACACATACAAGTTATACAAACAAAAATACTTCCATTTTTTGGATAATGAGAAGCGTATGAAAAATATAAAAGCAGAAAGAGAACAAAGAATTCCAACAGAACAGGAGAAAGGTTTGTTTGTGCAGGCGCCGGTACCACTAAGAATTTATGGATTACCGAAGATTCATAAGCCAGACGTCCACCTCTACCCTATCGTCAGTGCCATCAACTCCCCAACATACCAGTTGGCCAAATATCTTGCAAAGATTCTGTCTCCTTTTACAGGGAACACCGAATCATATGTCAGGGATTCTACACATTTTGTGGAATCGGTAAGAGGTATAAAGCTGGATGCTGAGGATATTTTAGTAAGTTTCGATGTAGAGTCTCTTTTTACCAGGATACCAGTTAAGGATGCTGTGGATAGTCACTGCCAGAAACTCATTCCGGAGGGATTACCAGAATACGTGCCAAATCTAGTGGAGTACTGTTTATCGTCGACGTACTTCATCTGGAAAGGAAAATTTTACGAACAGTTCGAATTCATGGCTGCCCCCATGGGATCTCCATAGCTAATTTCTACATGGAATTATTGGAAGAAGACACTTTGAAGAAGAGCCAGTGGAAACCAAAACTATGGCTCCGACATGTGGATGACACGTTTGTGATATGGCAACATGGTCAAAAACGGCTCCAAGAGTTCTTGGATTACTTGAACTCTCAACATCCTATGATTAAGTTTAACATGGAAACAGAAACTGCCGAAAAACTACCTTTCCGAGAGGTGTTGGTCACAAGGACGACAAATGGAGATTTGGATGTTGATGTATATCGATATATATGATGTATATATCGGAAGAAGACCCATACCAACAGGTATCTGCAGGCATCATCATCCCCAACAGAAGAGGTCCGTGATCCGTACTTTATTTCAGCGAGCAGCGAGAATATGTGAAGTAGATATCTTGAAGAAGGAGCAACACTTTCTACGAGGTGTCCTGCAAAACAACGGATACACTTCGAGGGACATCAACCGGGCCATCAAGCAGTGAAAGCAGAGGGAGGACGCAGTAAGTACAAAACCACTTGGATTTATCTGTCTTTCCTATGTTTCAGGTGTAACGGAAAGCATTGCCAAGCACCTCAAGAAGAACGACATCGTAGCCAAGGATAGCCAAGGACAAACTAACTCTATTAAAAGGAGCGGGAGTCTACTGACTATCGTGTAGTTGTGGGAAAGTTTACGTTGGCCAAACTGGACGTATCAAGGCTCATGAATTCTTCAACCTTACATCCCTGTAAGGTTGAAGAAGATCCAGCAGTCGGCAGTTGCAGAACATTTCCATGCAGAGGGACACCGAATAGACTTCGATCAAACAAAGATGCTGGCTAGGGACAACAGATACTACCAAAGACTGACAAGAGAAGCCATAAAGATCCATCGACATAGAAATAACGTCAACAGAGAAGATAGCTGGGAGCTTACCAGAACATGGAAGATTGTGGTGAACACGAAGACCTCCTCCCGCCTCACACTAGACGCGACGCAATTAGTTAATAATTAGCTTGTAATTAGCGTTTTTAAATAGCGACAAATTTGAAGTGGTTAAACTTTAAAATCCCCTTAATCTTGGAATTTTTCCACAAACCGTTTATATTTTATCATCTATATGCATTACGAACATACTGTATAAATAAAAGATAATGAATTTAATAAAATTTGAGTTATACAGTTTTCTTTTTAAATCAAAATTAACAATAAAACAAAAATTGAAAGTGTTAATTTGGTTGCCTATAAAAGTTTTCTATACAGTATAACATACTGAGCTTTAGAGCTTTAGTAACACATCAATAGATGTCGTTGAAATCGGAAAATTTCGATTTATTCTCTTGATTCTCCCTCCTTCCTAGTATATTCTCGGTTTTTCTCATTTCCAACGCGAAACGACTCTAGTATTAGCAGGAACTTGACGGTGTAAAGAGTCCTGCGAGACCTCCTTTCGCTCGCATTATAGATTTTTCTGTCCCCGGAGGCAGAACCGCAACAGCAGGAATATAAACGTTGTCAGAAAATATTAAAAATTTTCCCTCTCAATCGCGAGTTCTTAATGCGATTGTAGTCGTAAATTTGAAAAGATCAAAACCGAATTAGTTTATTTAAAGGGGTAGTAAGTGGTTGGATTTTTTTGTACAATTTCTTTTGAGTGTTTACCGTATCGGATTACCAGCAGGAGTTTATCGCTACGCCGGTGAGTATGTATTTTAAGAAAAGAGTGGAAATTCTTCTCTCTCGAAGGACGAACTAGGACTATTAATAAAATTACGAGGAGAATTTTTCTCCATTCGGAAAATTCGATTTTGATTCTGTTATTTTTTTTTAACATGTGCGCGACAATGTTTTTGTTTTGGTGGCTGAACCGAAATGGAGAAGGATGGAGAATTACCTTTTACGGGTCGACGCCGAGATTTTTTCTTTTCATAAAATAACGAGGTTCGCTGACGGTTTAATTGAAAAATGAAATTAATATTATTAAGTTGACCTCGGTTTCATTCTCAACTTTTACTAGCGTTTTAAAATGATTCTTCAATGAAACCAGGTGGGATGTAAAACTGAATGAATTTAACAAAAAAAAAATGATTCAATAAGATTTACACGTCCATTTAAAAATATAAAAATGTACAACATGTTTGACTTATACAAACAAAAAAATTATTAAGATATTTTATATTTATTTTTATGAGTTAAGTAACAATTTAATATTTAACAACAATTAGGTTTAATTATGAGATTAGAAATATTTTTAGAAATGAAATCACTTATGTTTTATACATGTTTTCTAAATTGCAATGTTATATTTATCTTTTCTTCGTAATGAAGTGCAAGAAACTCTTTTATTGAAATCTACATAAATTGTTCAAAATAATCTAACTTTTCTTGGATATAGAGTATTAACGAAGATGAATCCATGCCTCTCTAATAATTAGGCTGACTCTTGATAATATGGATAATGTCATACTCATTGTTTATGATTTGAAGTTCATTATGCAGCTCAGTAAATAAAATGTGCTATTCAGTTACTTATTGCAAATTTTAAGCAGTAAGCATGCGTTGACATGCGTATTACATAGAGCTACACACTGCAGCTTTATTGACACTCGTGCTAAGAAAGTTGCAGAATTATTTATTTCTATATATACAGGGTATGGAATGTATAAAAAAATAATAACTTTTTTGAAAAAAAATTACAAACAACAAAAAATAAAGTTAAATAAGATGTTCAAAATGTCCTCCTTCTCCAACTCTTTCTAAAATCTCCTCATTGGCTCCAATTTGTTGGCATTCTTGATTAATTCATAGCTGCAGCTCCTCGAGGGGGGTATTCACAGTAGTACCATAGACTAATGTTTTCAAATATCCCTAGAAAAAGAAGTCTAGAAGGTATAAGTCAGGCGATCTTGCAGGCCATAGTACAGGTTACTTTTCCTATCTATCTACGTGAAAAAGTTTGATTTAAATGTTCTCTAACCGCAATCGAAATAAGAGGTGGATCATCATGCTGGAATAACATTTGTTGTCTTTGGTCTAAGGGAAAGTCGTCAAAAAGATTAATCATTGTGTCCTGTAGAAAGTTTAGATAAGCAGCGCCTGTGTATCGGTGTGGTAAAAAACCTAAAAATCTGTCGCCTACAATGCATCCAAATGTTTAATGAAAAACGTGTCTGATGTCCAGATTTCATGGCGGATTTTCATCGGCTTAAAATTAGTGCATGGGAGACCGCGCCGAGGGTTTAAGGTTTGCTCAAAGCAAGAAAAATCGTTTCTTTCATGAAGGAATGAAAAAAAGTCCCTAAGAAGCCATGTTTAGTAGCATACGACGTATTGGACTGGCAGATCCGTCACTTGAAAAGGATGTATACGAATCTTTAAAAATAGAAGAAGATTTAGAAAAAGTTTCGGTTGGAATAGCTCCAGAACTTGATAAAGAAAAAGAGAGTAACATTGATGTAATTCCATGTGCCATATGTGAAAATAATGAGAATCTCCAATCATGTACCAAATGCAATGATGGGCGCTGGGTAAATACCCAAATAGTGGGTATAAAAGTGATACCAGTAAAAATATCAGATTCAAAAAAAAAAATGAAGAGGAAGATGATGAGGACGTTGAAGACGAGGCATTGTCAACAATCAAAGACGTATTATCATCAGACGAATCTGTCGTAATTTAGATTAGATCAAGTTATTATGATTATTATCATCAAGCAGCCCTCTGCGTCCGTTGTTGGACACAAACCTCCCCTATTCTGTCCCATTCGATTCTATTCTGTGCTGTCTGAATCCAATTGTTGGTCATTCTTTTGACGTCTACTTCGACTGTTCGCTCGCGGTCTCCACTCAAGCAACCGTTTTGTCCACTGCTCATTCTTCATTCGCTCGACATAACCCGCTCAGTTCCACTTAAGCTTTGCCACAATGTTGACCACATCATTTACGCCAGTTCTTCTTCATAGGTCTTCATGTCGTATGTAGTCCCCCAGAGTTAGACCCAGGATCGACCTCTCCATCTATCTTTGCGTTACTTGGACCCTCCTGGCAGATGCTAACGTTAATGTTAAAGTTTCGGAGCCTTAAGTCATAACCGGAAACACGCATTGATTGAAAGCCTTGCTTGGCATTTTCTCTTGAAGATGTCTCTAAGTTTCCCGTAGGCTGCCCATACTAGTGTGATCCTTCTGTTTAGTTCGCTTGTTTGATTATCTTTCGATACATGAACCTCATAGCCAAGATATACATATAGCTGTCAACCGTCTCAATCTCATTATCCCCAATGTTGATGTTAGAGCTGGGAACAAGGTTGATCATGAATTTTGATTTCTTCTTGTTGATATTTAGCCCGACTATTGCACACACCTCTTTTAAGTCATTCAGCATTAGTTTAATTTCTCCAACGCTATCCGATTGGCAATTAGCATTGCAATCAATATTTATGCCTTTTTGGGTCCAATCCAGTTGTTTAAATGCACTCTGAGGACTGTGATGAACAATTTGGGTTCAATAGTGTATCGCCTTGTTTTACTCACAATCAGTACTTTACTACTTCCACTCTCTTCAGTACTTTCATACAATTTTACCATCATTGTAGCATTCCTATAGATGTTATAAATAAGTTTGGTATATCGATAATCAACTCTGCATTCTTGAAGTGCGGGTATATATCCAGAAAATTTACCCTTGAAAATAAATACCCGGGTATTTAACAACACTGACCAAATGTAAAGCAAAGGCCGTTGTAGAAGAATCGACTTCGAATAAAATGTTAAATATGTCCCAGCAGTAAAAATTACTTCCTGTAGAAATTGGGCAAAATGTTGTGGTTAAAGGTCCAGAGTTCGACAAGGGACGACTAACGCCTAGAAATGTGCTAGCTGTAGTACTGAATGTAAATGAATCCGGTCTATACACGGTAGGAACGAAGGAAGGGGAACTCGACAAATATTATTCTCGAAATGAATTCATCTTTGCAGATTCAAATTTTATTAGCCAGTCAGATGTGTGTAGTTCCTCGTTAACATTAAGAAAAGGGTCAGTTTTGTCGTCAGAATCTAAACAAGGTTTTGTTATGTGCCAAAGCAAACGGTAGTGCAGTACCAAAACGTATAATTGTCGTGCAAAAACTATGCTGTGCAATTCAAAATGCCATAGCAACATTGCATGGTAACATATACATTATCTTTGGACTTAGTAAGATGTTTAGCCCATTTGTCTACAAGCCAACCCAGCACTGGTGGTGATACACTTAGCCTGATTTTAAATCTAGGATTTGGAGAGAATTACGTGTTAACTGCAATATTTATTTAATTTTTAGGATTTTTATCATGTCAGTACACTACCTCATTATCGAAAGCTATTTCAGAAGATAAGTAGTATTAATCCTAAATTTAAAAGAATCAGAAAATAATAATAATAATTCATTTTATTGCCCAACAAAGATCAATTACAAGGCAATATTACAAGAAAATAAGAAATAGCACATGCTATAAAACAAATATAATTCACATAAACACTCCTATACTATTATTGTTAGTTAGTTTACACATCCTCTGCACCGAGGAGTTGGCTAAAACATTGGATATGCAATTCCTCAAATAAAACTCATTGATACTACGTGTCATTGGTATAATGTTTGATTATCACCCTCGCAACCTCAACCGCATTGAGATACTTGAAGAATGTGTATACAATTGCTAAATAGTCCAAGAAAATCCAGTTAGGAAGTGAAATGTGCGAAAAAGAAAATAATGTTTCTTATGCATTCATAAACGATACAAATATGATCTACATGTGAACAATGTAACTACTATTTTTACAATAAATGTTAAATTAAGAATCTGAACTACGTATCCAGTTTAGATACTCTAGAAGTACCAAACTAATGAACTTATAATTGTATCAAAGGCTTTGTTTGGTGAACAAAATGCAAACCAAAATTATGCAGATTAATGATACAGAATAATTATGATAGTCACAAACAAGTATGTGATTAAGTCAGGGAAACAACACTTACTGGTTGAATTTGGTAATAACTTAATACCAATAACTACCAAAACAATTTGTGAACTTCAAAAAGTACTGCATCGAGTTTCCTAAAGATTCCGGTGAATTTACTAGAATATTTTCTGAAAGAGATATATTCCTTAATACATTTGCATCATAAGCTTACATGCGCCGATTTTCCTAGCCATTATCACCGAAGTGATAGGGAGTCAATCATATATAATACTTTTATTATAATTAATGTATTTATTGAACTAAAACTAGAATTAACACGAGCACTATAACCTTCTTCAGAAACAAAATCGAAGTGTACCCAACCCAACGCAACAACTTGACGCTGAATAACAACTAAAACTAGAATTAACTTCACACTAGAACTAGAAACATTCGGATTTAGCCGTGCGTCTCTCAAGATGACTAGTGATCAAAACACCCAGAAAAATTTAATCATGGGTGTTGCGAGTTTCATGCTTTTCCACTTCCATGTTTTTCCATGCTGCCAGATCACAACAGCTTTGGTTTCTACAGATTCTTCCTTAACGCTTCTTCTTTTAACATTTCTATGTACAATTATGGCTGCCCTTTCGCATTGCACGTCATCTTTGACTGGTATTTTGGGAAATGGAGGTTTCACATCGAAACATTTCAGGATATCCTGGAGATTTAACTTCATACTTTTGTTTGATTCCACAAA